TGTCTCTGTGTGTGTGTGTGTGTGTGTGTGTGTGTCTCAGGTGAGAGGGAAGGATGGAGTGGGCGCGATCATGGACTCAATGGAGTTAGAGAGACAGAGAGGAATCACTATCCAGTCCGCTGCCACATACACCATGTGGAAAGATCACAACATCAACATCATCGACACACCAGGTAACAGCCGACGGACTCTGAGAAACAGGGGGCATGCTGGGAGAATACAGGCGGATAACACACTTCCAGCTAACAGGGAACATTCTTCCAAAGTTTTGAACAAAACGTGCTTCCAGTAATCAGCAATGGATGCTCTGCAGTGAATGGGTGCCGTCAGAATGAGAGTCCAAACAGCTGATAAAAACATCACAATAATCCACAAGTAATCCACAGCACTCCAGTCCATCAGTTAACATCTGGAGAAGACAAAAGCTGCAACAAATCCAGCATTAAGACCTTTTTAACTTTAAACCGTCTGCTCTTTAATAACATTAAACTCAAAACGTTAGCACAAAAACACAATTGATACATTTTTCATGCTTTTAGTTGGTAATTCTTCTAATGCGTATTTTAAACATTACTGCTTACTAATGTCAGAACGTTCAGAGAATATTAACGAGGCGTTCACACAGTGATTAAATGGAGCGTTCCCTTAATGTTTTCTCTAATGTTCCTAATACCAAGAAAGATGTTTTTAAAACATTATAAAAACCAGGATGTTTTGAACCTTCAGAGAACAGTCAGAAATAATGTTTTATTTAATGGGGACATTAGAAAAACATTCTTAAAACATATTTTTCTAAGCTGGGCTACTGAATGTGTGCAATTCAGTGACTCAACCATTGTTTTCAGTGTTTAATTGGAAAAGATGACTGTATTTGTTTGTGAGATGATAACTGTGCAGTGAATTCAGTAGTCAGTGTGATGGAGTCGTGTAACGTTATGCTTAGATTCACCTTATTTTGGGCATTTGTAACTTAAATGTTACAGGCTTAGGGTGTCATTTGCTTCCAGTTATTTTACCTGTATGCAAACAATCCGTCAGGCTGATTCACAAATGCATTGTTTTACCGTTTTCTGCACTTCTAGTAATTGACCTAATGAATCTGGTCTCACACATTCACAGAAAACAGCTTATTCCATGTTGCAAAATAAGGTGTGTACTACACACGGTTTCATGTGCTTGGTCAGATCTAGTGTGCAGTGTGTGCAGCTGATGTTGTGATGCGCTGGTCAGGTCACGTGGACTTCACCATCGAGGTGGAGCGGGCTCTGCGTGTGCTGGATGGAGCGGTGCTGGTGCTGTGTGCCGTCGGAGGAGTGCAGTGTCAGACCATGACCGTCAACCGGCAGATGAAGCGATACGGCGTGCCCTTCCTCTCCTTCATCAACAAACTCGACCGACAGGGCGCCAATCCCAGCCGAGCGCTGCAGCAGCTGAGGTGAGTCAGCACCGGCGCAGAACACACCGATCCAAACCGGCCCGGTCCCCCAGAGATCATGATTCAGGCTTTGAGCTTTCTGAACACGTTTAACTGTGTAGAGAGGCCTTTAAAGAGACGGTTTACCCAAAATACTCACCCTCATGCCATTCAAACCCATACGACTTTGGTTAATCTTTGACACGTGAAGATATATTAATGAACTCTGAGAGATTTTTTTTGTCTCTATTGAAAGTATTCACAAAGAAATACACATAAACGTCATCCATATGAATAGAGTGGTTTAATTCAAGTCTATAGAGACGCGATTGCTTTAGACGATGAACAGATTGAATGTAGGCTTTTATTCACATATAAATAATGATCGACACACAATCATAGAGCACGTCAGATATGGCAAACGGAAGCTTTAATGTGCTTGCTTGATGCACAAAAACAAAAAATATCGTGATTTGTGTTTTAAAGATGAACAAAAATCACTTTGGTTAATCTTTGACACGTGAAAATATATTAATGAACTCTGAGAGATTTTTTTGTCTCTCTATTAAAAGTATTCATAAAGAAATACACATAAACGTCATCCATATGAATAGAGTGGTTTAATTCAAGTCTATAGAGACGCGATTGCTTTATATACGATGAACAGATTGAATGTAGGCTTTTATTCACATATAAACAGTGATCGACACACAATCATAGAGCACGTCAGATATGGCAAACGGAAGCTTTAATGTGCTTGCTTGATGCACAAAAACAAAAAATATCGTGATTTGTGTTTTAAAGATGAACAAAAATCTTGCATTTGAGTGACATGAGAGTGAGTAAATGAAGACATAATGTGCATTTTTAGGTGAACTATCTCTTTACTTGGTAGTACCTAAGGGTTAGACACTGTGTAGAACCAGAATGTGAGCCATTTATATATATATATATATGTGTGTGTGTGTGTGTGTGTGTGACCATGGCCCACAAAACCAGTCATAAGATGAACAAAATGCATTTGAGTGACATGAGAGTGAGTAAATGAAGACATAATGTGCATTTTTAGGTGAACTATCTCTTTACTTAGTAGTACCTAAGGGTTAGACACTGTGTAGAACCAGAATGTGAGCCATTTATATATATATATATATATATGTGTGTGTGTGTGTGTGTGTGACCATGGACCACAAAACCAGTCACAAGGGTCAATTTTTTTCGAAATTGAGATTTATGCATCATTATGCATCAAAGATAAATAAATAATCTTTCCATTGATGTATGGTTTGTTAGGATAGCACAATATTTGGCTGAGATACAACTATTTGAAAATCTGGAATCTGAGGGTGCAAAAAAATCTAAATATTGAGAAAATCATCTTTAAAGTTGTTCAAATGAAGCTCTTAGCAATGCATATTACTAATCAAAAATTAAGTTTCTTGGACTCAGAAAATATATATATATCTATTTTTTTCTAGGACTAAACTGAATCATAATGCAGCGTTTATCAACATTCCCATCGGACTGGAAGGAAATCTGCGAGGGATCGTTGATCTGATCGAGGAGCGCAGCGTCTTCTTCGAAGGCCCTTTCGGGTAGAGCGTGTGCTTGATGCTTTACTTTCTTTAGCGCTTTGTACTTTGAGACGTGCTGTAAATCACATGGTCTCTCATCTCCGTGTCTTTGTCGTTTCTCTCTGAAGTCAGAGCATTCGTTTCGATGAGATCCCGGTGGAGATGCGCGCCGAGGCGGCAGACCGCAGACAGGAGCTGGTGGAGTGTGTGGCGAACGCCGATGAGACGCTTGGAGAGATGTTTCTGGAGGAGAAAGTTCCCACGGTGGACGACATCAAGGTTTTTCAGATGCTGTTCAATAATCTGAAGCTCTGTTTCAGTCCCTAGTGAGACTGTTTGCTTCCTACATAGACAGCAAGTACATGCAATGTGTAACAAGGACACTGTAGAATAAAGTGATACCAAGCATCCTAATCAAAAATAGACCCTCATAAGTCTATATCTCAAACTATATCTCAATATAGGCAGCAACACAAATTATACAGTTTAATATTAGACTCAAATCAATACATCAAAATGTTGATTAAAAACAAATTCTATTTTTATAGTGATGCACCAAAATGTTTTTTTTTTACCAAACCCCTCAAATTAAAGTTTTTATTAACCAAAAAACAAAACTGAAATAAACTTTATTTAATAATAAATTAATTAGTTACCTTTTTTTTTTTACTTAATCAACACTCAAATAAAAACGGACTTGTATATGAACATTTAAATTGCCCATAAGGCAGTATCATATCAGCATTTTTAATGATAAAATTGTTTCTACACCAATTCATTTTTGATTGTTAAAGAAATAGGCCGTCCGAGATCAGGATGAGTTTGTTTCTTCATCAGGTTTGGAGAAATGAAGCATTGCATCAGTGTCTCAGCAATGGATGCTCTGCAGTGAATGGGTGCCGTCAGAATGAGAGTCCAAACAGCTGATAAAAACATCACAATAATCCACAAGTAATCCACAGCACTCCAGTCCATCATCTCACTCTTATGAGGTTTTTTGATCTATCTGCTGAAGTGTTTCTCCGTGGTTTCAGGCTGCTGTGCGCAGGGCGACTATCCAGCGCGTGTTCACTCCTGTTCTGGTGGGCAGCGCCCTGAAGAATAAAGGAGTTCAGCCGCTGCTGGACGCTGCGCTGGAGTATCTGCCGAACCCCACCGAGGTCAAGAACTACGCCATCCTGAACGAGGAGTGAGTTGGCAGTGTTTTTCTGACATGATGTTCAGGAGATGTTTAGCAGAATGTTCACGCTGCTCTTGATCAGACAGTAACTGCAGACAGGGACCACAAGCATATGAGTAGTCCTATGCTTGAAAATGTCATTTCCATGTATTCAAATACGGTCTGTCAGGTTTAACGTCTCAATCACATGCTCTGTTTGAATAAATATCAGAATGAGTTTTCAGAGCTTGACCGCAGCTGGTTCACAAATCCTTTCATTGTGTTGATTTCTGTGTGAACTACTACAGGGTTTCTGCGGCTCTTGATTTGCCCTTCCACTAATTAAGTCTTAAATCAGAGCAAAAATGTCTTAAACTCAGTCATGGCAGTAAATGTGAAGCTCTTCCCCAGTGTTTCTGTCTCGTCTCCCAGTACAAATATCTAAACATCCTTAATTCAAGATGCATTTACTGGAGATGCAAACTTAGTTATGAAGTCTTGTTTTATGAGAAATTGAACAAATTAATTGAGTTTATGCTTAAAACAAGAACAAATGTGACCCTGGAGCACAAAACCAGTCATAAGTGTCAATTTTGTGAAATTGAGATTAATGCATCATCTGAAGCTGAATAAATAATCTTTCCATTGATGTATGGTTTGTTAGGATCGGACAATATTTGGTCGAGATACAACTATTTGAAAATCTGGAATCTGAGGGTGCAAAAAAAATCTAAATATTGAGAAAATCATCTTTAAAGTTGTTCAAATGAAGTTCTTAGCAATGCATATTACTAATCAAAAATTGAGGAAGAACAGCACTTTATTGTGGTGCAATCAGAAGGTACAGTAAAAGTTATTTCCATATTCTAGTGTTGGGTTAAGTGCTATTCAAGACATTTTGTAAATGAATGAATAGTAGGAATTTGTATCTTCAAGCTTTGAAGTGTTGCATTTGCATTTCGAGAGCATAGTGACGTCTTGTGTTCCTTACGTTTTCTGTACTTGATCTTAAAAAGTTCTTAAGCCTGCACTACTGCGACGGGTCTGAAATCCGTCTCCACGTTTCAGGGCATCTAGTGACGGCTCCAGGATTCTGATGGACCCCGCGAGAGACGACACGCATCCCTTCGTCGGCCTGGCCTTCAAGCTGGAGGTGAAGCAGGGTTGTGTGAACCGAAGGAAGGGTTTCTCAGTTCTTTGAGCAGTGTTTGATCAGCGGCGTGTGTGCAGGCGGGGCGTTTCGGGCAGCTGACGTACGTGCGTGTGTATCAGGGCTGTTTGAGGAAGACGGAGTACATCCACAACACCCGCTCGGGGAAGAGGGTGAGGGTCCAGAGACTGGTGCGACTCCACGCCGATCAGATGGAGGTGAGGCGCGTCTGCTGCTGCGCTTCAGGCAGATCTCCCGCCAGCAGAGTCTGAGAGTGAGTGTGTTTCTGTGCTCTTCAGGACGTGGAGGTGGTGTTCGCCGGCGATATCTGCGCTCTGTTCGGCGTCGACTGTGCCAGCGGAGACACCTTCACTGCCCGCACTAATGCCAACCTCTCCATGGTATGTGATGAAGAGCAGTCATCCTCACTAAACCTGTCTGGCTCATACTGCACCAACTCAGGTTTTGCATTGAACAACAGTAATATTGTGAAGCTGTTTTCTATGTGAATATGTGTTAAACTGTAATTTATTTCTGTGATGCGCAGCTGTATTTTCAGCATCATTACTCCAGTCTTCAGTGTCACATGATCTTCAGAAATCATTCTAATATGCTGATCTGCTGCTCGAGAAACATTTCTGATTATTATCAATGTTGAAAACAGTTGTGCTGCTCAATATTTTTGTGGAAACGGTGATAGATTTTATTTTTCAGGATAAACAGAAAGTTCAAAAGAACAGCATTAATTTGAAATAAGAAACATTTCTGATTATTATCAATGTTGAAAACAGTCGTGCTGCACAATATTTTTGTAGAGACCGTGATACATTTTATTTTTCAGGATTCACAGATGAACAGAAAGTTCAAAAGTATAGAAATAGAAATATTTTGTGACATTATAAATGTCTAGTTTGATAAGTTTAATGCATTATTAAATACATTTCATACTGGACCCAAACATTTGAGTAGCAAATATAAAAAACTGAAAAGTGAAATTTCTTATTAGTTATGATTGATTTAGTATTGATTTTCAGTTTTGTCTGATTTTGAGCTAAATTTAGAAAAAAAATAAAACGCCTCATCAGTCACAGGAAAGATTATAATCTAAGAGACTATGAGCAGTGTAATTTTTGTATCGTTGAGATTATATAGTTTTTATTAATATTTTGAATCAGTTTTATATTTTCAATTTTCATTTTTAAGTTTTGGCAATTGTGCGTTTTTTTTCTTTTTTAGTAGTTGTTTTGGTTTTTGTAATGTGTATATCGTTTTTATTAATTTTTATTGCAGTTTGAGTTATTTTAGTTCGTCAAGTGAAACTAAAATGAAGGTGAGAAATGTTGCCTAGCAACTGGCTGAAATAAACTGTATATATATATTTTTTAATGGTTTTTAGTTTCAGTTTTAACTGTAATAACCATGAGTGTGAGAACTCAAATTTTGACCAAATGTGCAGTGAACATCGTGGTAGTTGTTCTGGTGTTGTAATGCTGATTTAAATCATTGCACAGCTCTCTGATTTACTGCATTACAGTGGAAATGTACTATATGTGTGCAGTAATCCTAATGATGATGTGTATTCGCAGGAATCCATTCACATTCCTGATCCCGTGATCTCTATGGCCATAAGAGCCTCCAACAAGGTAGAATCACACGTTCGTTCTCTCACAGCGGACCCTTCAGACACAGACTAATGCAGCGTCTTCTGTCCTCCAGAACGACACAGACAAGTTCTCCAAGGGAATCAATCGCTTCACCAGAGAAGATCCCACGTTTAGAGTCCACTTTGACACGGAGAGTAAAGAGACCATCATCTCGGGCATGGGAGAGCTGCATCTGGAGATCTACTCGCAGGTACTGAGCGCATGCATCTGTGTGTCTGTGTAACCACACACGCATGGTAATCTGGAGTCTGTGCGTTACAGAGGATGGAGAGGGAATATAGCTGTCCGTGTGTGATGGGCAAACCCAAAGTGGCCTTCAGAGAGACGGTGACCAGCGCTGTGCCGTAAGTCCTGCATTTACACACATGAGGAAAACACTTTCATAGATCTCATCCTAAACTAAAACCAGAAACATTTGCATTATTTGAAGTAAGCATTAAAGGTCCACTGACGTGCCTTGAAAGTGCAGCATTATTATATGTGCTGAAGACAGGGCGGGACATATGGAGCAGCTCCGCCCCTTTTTTTTTTTAAATAGCCAATTGCGTTTCGTTTGTATCACAGCTTGGCCAGAGCCGTCGGTTGAGCTCGGCAAACCAGACTTCATTCACCCCATAATGGAAAGCGCACGGTTTGAATCGTTCCCTATCCTCTATATAGTGCACTACGTGTCATTCAGCATACAGAAAACACTAACAAGTGAGCGATTTCAGCCACGGCTTCATAGTGTCGGGGGGCGGGACGCTTCGGATTCTAGACCGCTTCTGATTGGACGGAAGATCTGAAGGGCAGTATGATGTCATCAAAATCCTTGATCCGTATTGGCAGTAGACTGAAGCTGCGTCCCAAATGACGCACTAGACACTATGCCCTTAAACACTGTGTACTTATGCACTATGTACTCAACCGTATAGCGTATGAATTTTACAGTGATTTTGTCATTCATAATCATAATCTGACAGCCCCTCCTCCTCACGTAATTAAAGCTGCCACAGTTGAGTGCATGAAGCGTTTTTCGGTTAATCAAGTGCATCATCCGGGTTTTTAGTGCGCTTTTTCTTTTTGTAATTTTCAGTGTGAACACACTAATAACTATTTATTAACGGCACACAAACATGACGGTTCGATACGTACCTCGGTTTTGATGTCACGGTACAGCAGGGGGAAAACTAAACATAATTGTTTTTTTTATTAAACAGTGGTTTAATGAAATATCACTCTTTCTTTAATTAAATTCAGTTATAATTAATATTTTCTTAGGGATAAAAATCTACGCTCTAAACTATAGGGAGCCCTTTTACATTAGGCTACTATAAGGTTACAGTTAACAACAGAGCCCAAACTTAATTACTATTTATTTTTAAATATAACAAGCAACACTCAACTTTAAAAAAAATGTATGCATGTAAATTGCACATAATGCAGTTTTTAAATTAACTTCTAAATTAATTACTAAAAATTCTGTTTGTTGAAATACATTCATTTACACAGTGCCGCTCATAACAGATTTATTTAAACACACATTAAATAATAAGGCATCACTAACAGGTAAAGTAAAATATAATAGTCTAATATTTCGCGAAATGCTTTTCTCTAGACTTCATGTATAGCGCACTAACGAGCTGTGGACACTGAGGACTGCCTGAGGGAAATTAAATACATTGTATACAAGCTGTTTTACTGACGTCTCTCCGCGGTTGAAACACTGATTGAGTGATTACACGAGGCAGGAGATGTTCATTCATGTTTATTTCGTGTTAAAACTACTAGAGGAAGAGATGATCGCGCTGCCGTTTGAACCGAGGCGTTTATACAGCGATCTGTCGCGCCACATCAAAGAGCGCCAGAACCTCATCTATTGCTTGAATTTCCTGAGAAAGGACATCATTTGAAAGATGAGACTTTGTTTCTTATCAAAAGTAACAAAATAACTAAGTTTGCAATGAAGTTCCACTCGTGCAGTGGTTAAAACAACGGACCAAACCGAAAGACCTGTGTACAGTTACACCGCTACTATTTATACTACTAAACAACTTAGAATAGGGCACAAAGTACATAGCTTGTAAGTTTTGAATTCTTATATCTATTTATTCTAAATGCAAATTTTGTCATTGTTTTGGAGCACACTAGCTTATACATAACCTTAAGGATAACATATTCATACTAACAGCCAAAAAACTTCCATTTTGATTTTAGGGGGACTTTTACTGAAATAAAATAATAATAAAAAAAAAAAAAAGTTATTACAGCTAGTTGCCAAGGCAACATTTCTAATTTTCATTTAGTTTATTCTTATGTACTAAAATACCTAAAACAAAATAAACTAAAACTTAAAAAAAAAAAATTATATAGACATATCTAAAAAAAAAAAAAAAAAAAAAAAAAAAAAAAAAAAAAAAAAAACTATAATAATGTATATATATATAAAAACTTCAGTTAGTTGCCAAGGCAACATTTTCATTTCATTCAACTTGTTCTAAAATACCTAAAACTGAGAAGACATTAAAAAAAAAAAAAAAAAAAAATAGAAATATAATTTAGTTTATATTTAACTAAATTAAAATATAAAAATAAAATCTAATTCAAAATATTAACACAAACTATATATCAATGATACTAAAATGACCATCGATTTGATTGGGTGAGCAGTGATTTTAATAGAGGCAGAATCTGTGAGAATCGTGGGTTTGTCTGTGATGAACACACGCTTGCAGCCGCTGTATCGGTCTGTCTTTATTGGTCTGGATGACCGGCACACATTCAGCACAGGGTTAGCACAGGTTTAGCACAGGGTTAGTTGGGTGGTTTGGTGGCGTGAGGGCATCTGGGCTGCCACTCGGTCTGCAGGACCCTGACGCCTCTGTCTGGAGACCAGGACGCCAGCAGCTTCCACTGAACGATCTCCTACAGAACACACACACCGTCAACACACACACATCAGTGTCCACAGACGATGAGTAGTGTTTCTGTGTTACCTGCGAGGGGAGGTCATGAAGAAGAACCACAAACTCCAACATCAGCTGCTCCTCGCTCGACTCCTGAGACACACCACAGCACTCTTCAGCCTCTCGTTTATGATTCATAACCACACGACAGTAATGTAGATCACTTACAATCACAATCACGCTTCGTCTGCTCGTATGAGTACTGCTTTCCACATGTTAGAATAATAGTAAAGCGATAAGCTCTGAAATAACACATGATGATGTAGTGATGAAAACATGACACGCAAATGAAAGTCTCTTCTCTCTGAGCTTCTGTTCATGCTGAACATGCATCAAACACCTTCATCAGGTGCATCATGGGATGCTTTTAGACACTAGCGAAGCAGGAACGTGTGATGATGAGCACTTCATGACAGAAAACTAAAAGTTAAATTACTTGAAATGCATCGCTAATTAATAAAAATTAGCGATGCACCCAAACTAAATTTCTCCACCGAAAGCGGATTATTCAGAATGATATCTGCCGATATTGATAGTTTGGTTTTCTTAAGGAAACAAAATCTCTCCCAACTAATGCTGTGAACTACACAGGGATCCCTCTCATTTGGTACATTACTATAACATTAGACGTTATAATTAACAACAAAGCCCAAACTATTATATTCAACCGCTGTTTATTTTTAGATGTAATAATCACACTCAAATAAAAATGTTAGTATGCAACTCAATTTTACATAAGGAAGTTTTCATAAAAAAATAGTCTTGACAGATTTATTCAAACATATGTATAATTAACAGTAAATAAGCTCCCTCTAGTGTTTTATAGCTAACTAAAGTGACGTTAAGTGAAATTGTTCACAAGTTGTTTTATTTGACGTCATTATTTCGGTTGAAACACAGATTCCTCAATTACACGACGTTAAGTTGTTCGGTGTCTTTCAACACCTTCTGATGTTCTGTCACGTTTATTTTGTGCTATAACTTGTATTAAAGACTCTTGCTTGAACTGAAGCTGCTATAGTGATCTGTCGCGCTACATTTAAGAGCATCAAAACGGCATTTATTGTTTGAATTTTGCGATAAAATGGACAGGATTTGTGAGCTGAGGCTTTGTTTTTACTCAGAAAAAAAAACGCACAAAGCTCTTTGCGATTATTGGATGGGAGGCGGCTACAAATAATGTACGGTGAAGGGAAGAAACACGGATCTGGCAACCCTGACTCGAACTACAGGTGATTCATAGCGTCAAACCAGTTAACGCTATTTTTTTTTTTTAAGTGAGATTGCGTTAAAATATTATTTTCGCATTAACTTCGACAGCCCTAAATTCTACAAAAGAGAGATTTTGTAACATTACAATTTGTTAACTTTATTTAATGCATTAACTAACATTAATGAGCAATACATTTGTTACAGTATTTATTAATCTTTGTTAATGTTAGTTAATAAAAATACAACTGTTCATTGTTTAGTCCATTTTAGCTCAGGATTATTAAATAACATTAATACTTATTAAACTTTTCATTTTAATAATGTATTCTTCAGAAGTATTTTTCATTGTTAGTTTATGTAAACGAATGTAGTTAAACTTTAAATAATAACCTTATTATAAAGTTACTGATATTTTCCTCCGACATGAGTTGCAGTCCCGACATGTTTTCCGCCGTTTTGATTGACAGTGATTATATAGGCATTTTAAAAACTAATAAAAATGACAGAAACATGCAACAAAATGACTAAAACTTTACCTAAAGTTACTAATTCTAAATACAGCATCTCAAAAATACTAAAATAATGATGCTGCTTCTTCACCAGCCACTAAAAAACCTAATTTAGGAAATATGTGTGTAGACACAATTAGGGCTGTCAAAAAAAATGTGAATTTCGAATATTCGTCAAATTAAAAAAAACAACCTTGCATTCGAATTTAAAGGGGTCATATGATGCGATTTCATTTAGAGTGTTACAAGCTCTTGGTGCATAAAGAAGATCTGTAAATTTGCAAAGACTAAAGTCTCAAATCCAAAGAGATATTCTTTATAAAAGTTAAGAGTCAGCCACACCTACCTAAAACGGCTCGTTCGAACACGCCCCCACATATCTACCTCACTAAAATTAATGCAAGTTCAACTTTTAAAAAAACATGTCTCAAGATGTTTGCACTGACCTGCTGTGTGACGCTGGCCACCTGAGCCATGTTGAACTCTGTGTTCTCACTGGACTCTCTGAGCATGATGAAGGACGCGGCCACACGAGCCAAACGCCAGAACGGCTGCATCTCCTCGCTCATGTTACCGTAGCTGTCTGCAAGCACGGCAGAGAGAGAGGCTGTTGCAGTGCATTGTGGGACTGTCGTGTCAGATGTAGGTTAGTTTAGGTGTTGGTCACACCTGGTATGTCGCGCGCAGAGACGGCGCTGTCAGGCGTGATGTGTTTCTGGTAGAAAGCCTCCTCCTCCTGCGCTGTGCGGTTGATCTGCTGCAGAGCCTCACAGCGCAGCTTCACGTCAGGAGCACTGTGCCGCTCCGTCCGAGGGAACAACACGTCCGCTGAGCACCGCAGCGCTGGGCCCTGACGCACAACAACCACCACTCGACATATTACTGACCGAAAGATTTATAATGTTACAGTAGATTTCTATTTCAAATAAATGCTGCTCTTTTGAACTTTTACATTGTAATAATATTTCACAATATTACTGACTTATCAAAAAAATATAAATACTGGTGAGCAGAAGAGACTGCTTTCAAAAATATTAAAATAATCTTACCGACCCTAAACTTTTGTGTACCAAGAGAGCTAAATGACCCTACAGCGGTTCTCTATCAGCTCGAAAAGATGCACATCTGAAGGTCAAAAGGTCAAATTAAAGCTCATATTTAGGAATGTAAATATGCATAATCGGACAATAAACATTTAATGCATTGACATTATGGAATGTAATAATATAGTTAAGTAATTTAATGTAATATAATTAAATAATAGCACCTAGTGAGTAAGACGCACACTCTTTCTGGCATTCATATTTCTGTATGTCCATCAGAGCAAAGTAGGTTCATTATTGTTTTCTTCTCCAAATATCTCTACATATCAAATATATATTTTGGAATATTTGGAGAATATTCACCTTCTGAATGCGTCTACTGCGATTAAAATATTTGAGGCTCTTCAAAAAGACTGAAACAAGCCATTTTAAATCATAAAGTTGCACTACAAATAATCCTTATCCGTTAGTTTGACTGAATGAGCTTGACATTTTCTGCCATGCTCCATTTTTTTCCGTCAGGAAATTAATGTAACGCTGTATCACAAGAATATCTGTATTTCAGGAATGTTTCTAAAGCTGGGAAAAGTACATTATATTAAAATAATGAGAAGCACTTCGTTATGACGGAATATTTTGGATTAATGCAACACGCGTATGTTACAAAACAGACTTGCATAAATTACTACCGTAATATTTTACGTGTCTGTAGTATTGCTGAAAGACTCATCTGAGCTTTTATTGATTGTCTGCTGATAGTAATTAGCTCATATGTTTAGGTGTCCTTTGAAGAGTGAGGAGAATAATATCAGCTCATTTACAGAGCAAACGTTTAAACCGATTTATTGACAGTATGGCAAGCCATTTCAACATTTAATCCTTAAAACATATTAGTATTTATTTTAATGCTACTAGTACTTTTTTAGCTACTAGTTTCTATTCCATTAAGTACTAGTACTTATTAATTAGCTACTACTACTTATTCTTTAGCTACTAGTAATTTTTTAAAGATACTAGTACTTATTTCAGTAGTGACTAGTAACTATTCTACTGTTACTAGAAACACATTTCCAATTTTTGTCATTGACTTCTATGGGGATCTGCCATACAGTACTAGTCAGAAGTGAATAGTTGACATCTGAATGTATTTCAATAGTGACTGGTATCTTTTTAAATATTACTAGTAAGTATTCATTAGATACTAGTATGTATTTATTAAATACTATTACTTTTCAATTGATATTAGTGCCTATTTAATATTTAGTAGTCGTTATTCATTAAGACACTGGTGCTTAATTATTATACACTAGTATCTTTTGTAATCGTTACTAGTAACAAATCTTATTATAATAGTCAGAACTGCTTTTTTTACTCGTCTTATGTTATGACTAGTCATATATATTATTAGGGATGCACGATATTGGATTTTTGCCGATATGCTGATATTTTTTAACTAATTTTGGCCAATAGCCGATGCCGATATATTTCCTTTTGTTTGGAAACAACACCAAGTCTCTCCTGTACAGAGATTATAACAAATTATTTTTCCTTTTGGTTAGTTTTTAACAAAAACTTACTTTTGAGAATTAAATAAACAATGAAGTTATTTTATAATGAGAATACACTGAAAGCTTTGAAAATAACTATAAAGCAACTATAAATCAATGCTTAACATTTTATTTGAATAATTAACGTTTGTAGATGGTCTAAAGCAAAAGAGTTGTACACATTCTGAAAATCTTTTAGAGCTCCCTGTATTTAAGTTTTCATAATCGGTTTGAAAAAAACAAAACATATTACACATTAATGAATAAATCATTGCTGTCGTGATCTTATCGCTGTCACACCCTGAGCACATGTGAGTTATTCATCTTATCGGCAAGGCATATCGGCATACTTTTTCATATCGGGCCAATGCCGATATTTGCATTTTAAGCCATTATCGGCCAATCCCGATAACGTTCCGATAATATCGTGCATCCCTAATATATATATGCTAGTCACTATTGTTATACATACTAGTCAGGACTGAATATTTGATATCTGAAATAGAAGTCAATGGAAAAATGTATGCTAACACTTTAGTTTTAGGTCCAATTCTCACTATTAATTAGTTGCTTGTTAACTTGCATATTACTAGCATATTGGCTGTTTATCAGTACTTATAAAGCACATATTAATGTCTTATTCTGCATGATCTCTTAATCCTAAACACCATATCTAAACTTAACAACTACCTTACTAACTATTAATAAGCAGCACATTAGGAGTTTACAGAGGCAAATATCGTGGTTAATAGTTCGTTAATAGTAAGAACTGGTCCCCAAACTAAAGCATGACCAAAATTAGAAATGTGTTACCAGTAACAGCAGAATGGTTACTAGTCACTACTGAAATAAGTACTAGTATCTTTTTAATAGGTACTAGTATCCAATTAATAACGATTAGTATTAAAGGGGTCATATGATGCGATTTCATTTTTTCCTTTCTCTTTGGAGTGTTACAAGCTCTTGGTGCATAAAGAAGATCCAGTATCTAATGAATAAGTAGTAGAAGCTTTTAAAAAAGTACTAGTACCTAAATAACAAGCACAAGTACCTTAATAATAAGCACTAGTAGCTAATGAACAAGTACTAGTACATAATAGAATAGATACTAGTAGCTGAAAAATCAGTACTAGTATAGATACTAGTTAGTTTTAAGGATTAAATGCTAAAATGGCTTGCCATGAATGCTGTTTAAGCATGTATTTAGTATCAGTACTGGGTGCTCAATAAACTAGAGCTCTGCAGTGGTAACTGGTCAGCTGGTTAGGCAGGAGTGAGTCAGTGGTTAGTGGTTTCAGAGCAGGTTAGTAATGGATAAGAGCAGAAGTGAAGCGTACCGCACTGCCACTGGCCCAGTCCGTCACTGAGAAATCCAGCTTGTACTTCCTGCCTCCTGCTTCCACATCCTGTCAACACAAGGGTTAGCGTTAGCAAACACTGTGATCCAAGTACACACTTCACAGGTCCGGTCTTGCCTCAGATGAGGTGTCTCAGAGTCACGAGAGCGAGCTGAATGAGTGCCTCACCTCCGCACTGGCCTTGTGCACCTGCTGCAGTCCGAACACCCTGAAGGGCGAGCCGTGGTGTGTGTTCAGGTAATGCAGGGCCACCTGAGCCGCCCGCCGCGCCGGGTAGTGTGTGGGCTCCAGATCTCCAGTGCTGGCCATGTCCTCCGCCGTCTGAGAGAGTCAGAGCAGAAACAAACACCTGAGAGAGTGTGTGGGGCGCGGCACTGGACTCTGACCCTTTAATCACCGACTGTTGCGTAACAAACCGTGTAAAGAACATGTGATCACTGTCAAAATGAAGGAGGCGATGAAGAAATGTTCAGCTGAACAAACAAAAGATGAAGAAATGTAGGGATCTAACAGTTACTGCCGCAGTCACTGAGATGGGAGTCTTTCACTTCCTGTTTTGTGCAATAGCCCCGCCCCCTCTTAAAGAGACACTGCAGCTAGATTAAAACAGCTGACTGCTGAAACACTACACAGAACCTGATGAAGAAACAAACTCATCCTGATCTCTGATGGCCTGAGGGTATATTCCTTCAAAACTAAAATACAGAAATGATGACTTTCAAAATGTTTCTGTCTCTCAGCCTCATTCCAAACTGGTTTCTTCTGTGGAGCGCAGAAGATCGGGCTTGATCATTTCTGGCTGATCTATGGCTTTAGGTTGAGTGTTTCTATCACTGGTGAAGTGTGTGTGGTGTTCCGTCCTCAGGGTTTCAGGGAAGCGTGTGAGAAGGGTCCTCTGACGGGACACAAGATATCTGGAGTGCGTTTCGTCCTGGAGGACGGAGCTCATCACATGGTGGACTCTAACGAGATCTCCTTCATCCGGGCTGGAGAGGGCGCTGTAAAACAGGGTATGATGAGCAGATCATTCACTCTCATCTTCACTGACGTCCGATCAGAGCTTCACGTGCGTGTCCCGTGTCTTCAGCCATTGAGAAGTCCAGCATGGTGATTCTGGAGCCGGTGATGTCTGTGGAGATCGTGGCCCCTAATGAGTTCCAGGGGGTCGTTATTGCAGGGGTCAACCGTCGTCACGGGGTCATCACGGGACAGGACGGGGCAGAGGGCTATTTCACTCTCTACGCTGATGTGAGTCACTTCAATCACACTGACTGATCACAAACGGCTCAATCTCACCTCTCAAGTCTTCATCAGCCCAAAATCAAAGATACAAATTATATATTTATAAAGCGGAGAGTTCCGGTCCTTGATTCTGATTGGCTGAGCCGCGTTCGAAGCTGTTGTAAATGACTCTACAAAGTAACATACACCTTTGTTTACGTTTGTGGTAGTGTGTGGGCTCCAGATCTCCAGTGCTGGCCATGTCCTCCGCCGTCTGAGAGAGTCAGAGCAGAAACAAACACCTGAGAGAGTGTGTGGGGCGCGGCACTGGACTCTGACCCTTTAATCACCGACTGTTGCGTAACAAACCGTGTAAAGAACATGTGATCACTGTCAAAATGAAGGAGGCGATGAAGAAATGTTCAGCTGAACAAACAAAAGATGAAGAAATGTAGGGATCTAACAGTTACTGCCGCAGTCACTGAGATGGGAGTCTTTCACTTCCTGTTTTGTGCAATAGCCCCGCCCCCTCTTAAAGAGACACTGCAGCTAGATTAAAACAGCTGACTGCTGAAACACTACACAGTTTGTGATGCATTTAGGGATGGATTATAAAGCTAAAAATGACTCTTATCTCTGTAGTTACTGAAGGTCAATCAGAGAAACCATCATTACAACCAAACTGATTTGCCACATTCATAATGTTTAATGCAAGAAGTAAAATACTGTACAATCCATTTAAACCGAACCAAGGCTTTTTTCATCTTTATTTATTGGTCTGTCTGTCTGTTCATCTATCTATCTATCTATCTATCTATCCATCAATACGTAATACATTTTTAATTAATTAGTGAACTGTTATTTTTAAATATATCTTCACTGAAACACTTTAAAGCGATAGTTCACCCAAAAATGACAGTTCTCTCATTTTCTCTCCCTCATGTTGTTCCAAACCTGTATGAGTTTCTTTCTTCTGTTGAACACAAAAGAAGATATTTTGAAGAATGTTGGTTCCAAACAGTCGATGAACCCCATTGACTTGACTTCCATAGTATTTATTTTTTATTTTTTCCAAACTATGGAAGTCAGTGGCTAACTGCAAGTGTTTGGTTACCAACATTCTTCAAATTATTTTCATTTTTGGGTGAACTATCCCTTTAAATCCTGTAAAATCCCATGCAGTGATTTCTGTGAACATTTTTGAGTGATAATGGAAATGCAGTGTGTCTGTGTGCACTGTATGTATGTATATATATATATATATATATATATATATCTCTATCTTACCAACCAAAGACTATTGAATCGATGGTGAATATTTGATGTGTATAGTCCAGCACTAATTGTTATGCTGCAGGTTTGACTTCACTCATAAGAAGCAGTCTGGAGGCTCGGGTCAGTATGGTAAAGTCATTGGTGTCCTGGAGCCGCTGGACCCCGAGATTTACACAAAGCTGGAGTTCAGCGACGAGACCGTCGGCACCAACATCCCCAAACAGTTTGTGCCGGCTGTGGAGAAGGTGAGCCGCCCGCATCTCACGAAGAACCATTCAACATCCACACTAGCTCTCATAAACAGGAGATCTCAGGACTTCAGATCTGGAGAAATGCAGCACTGCATCAGTGTCTCAGCAATGGATGCTCTGCAGTGAATGGGTGCCGTCAGAATGAGAGTCCAAACAGCTGATAAAAACACCACAATAATCCACAAGTAATCCACAGCACTCCAGTCCATCAGTTAACATCTGGAGAAGACAAAAGCTGAAACAAACCCAGCTTATTGTTTTAAACACATACGAGCTGGCGTGAACTCGAGTGTGCGAGGCGGTGTCAGCAATCTCCATTTATTAGCTTGTTTAGCTGTGCAAAAACAGTTCATCAATAAACTAGTATTTGTTTTTAAATTATTTGAAATGTATTAACGTACTTATAAACCCTCATTTGTAGCGCAGATGTTTTGACTTGCTTTGTCAGACGTGAACTGAAGTCTCGCACAGACACAAGTCAATTTTTTTACAAGAAAACAATGTAAAACCATAATACATATAGAATACATTGAAATAAATTAGGTTAATATTATAAGAGGGTTACCAACGGGTATGTTCAGGGGTTGGTGAGGACCATAATTAAATGTATGCAATTAAACAACTCAATAATTACTTAAAAATAATCATGCAAATTAAGAATTATAAAGCAAGTGCTATAAAAGAGTATAAACTGCTAATACATCCATACATGCAAAAACTATAGGGTCCTGAAACTGCAGCCTCCTACTCATCTCCAGTGCCAAAATATCTCAATATTTCACTGACCGTAAAGCAAAAAGATATGTATATTTAAAATTATGAAATATTTATACTAAAGTATCATTATTTTTCTTTTGTTTACAGTTAGATAATATTGCAAATAGCATAAATTAATGAATAAATAAAACCCTCAAAACCAAAACATCCAGATGCTTTGCACAGTAGTAATGTGAAAAGTGATTGTGTGTGTGAGAGTGTGTGAGTGTGTGAGTGAGAGTGTTAGTGTGTGTGTGTGTGTGTGTGTGTGTGTGAGAGTGTGTGTGTGTGTGTGAGAGTGAGTGTGTGTGTAGTTCCAAGCGGCACACGACACACGGCACGGGCCCCGAGCTCTCGGCAGAAACACAGAGAAACCGGCAGAGGGTCTGGAGCCCTGAGCAACACTGCCGGTGAGGGCTGAACACACACACACACACTAACACTCTCACACACTAACGTGTGTGTGAGAGAGTGTGTGTGAGAGTGAGTGTGTGTGTGTATATAGTACATATCCAGCATACAGTATAAACAAGTTAACAATGACTCAGATTTCAGATCTTTTGTTTATTGAGATGAGATCTGCTACTGTGTTCTGTTGCTGAAGTTCTGTGATTATGATCATATTGGCATAATGGACAACTAATCTCTGTTGACCTGGTGTTTTCTGGGCTAGATCCCGTTGAACGACATGTTCGGATACTCGACCGAGCTGCGCTCCTGCACTGAGGTAAAATGTGAACGTGAAATCAAAATACTCTCTCTTATGTGTTCCTGGTCTTATTGTGAACGATTCATCTGTGAATATTATTCTGAGAGAAAACAAAACATCAACTGCCTTCGTAATCTCTCTTTAAATTGCAGCAGTTCTTTGTGAAATGAGCGATCAGTTTCTGATGAACTAAACCAGTGTTTCATGTTGATGTGAGTGTCTCATTCCAGTGTGTGTGTGTGTGTGTGTTCAGGGTAAAGGCGAGTACACCATGGACTACAGCAGATATCAGCCCTGTCTGCCCTCTGTACAAGAAGAGCTCGTCAACAAACACTTGGAGGCCACGGGACAGCTGCCCGCCAAGAAGAGCAAGTGGAAAAACTGATGCACCGCACACAGTTCAGATCTGTCGAGGACACCGCTGATTTTAAATTCTGCAGAGATCGGCTTTGGTCATGCACTGTAAATGTATTTGTACAGCGAATGTTTGCAAATGTAGTAAAATCATGATCTGTTTAAACTCGTCCCGTGTACTATATTTCACGCCTAACCTGAGCAGAAAACAGCTGAAGAAATCTGCATTGAAGGAGAAACCTGAACCTTATCTACTGTTAGACAGCAGGGGGTTTTCCAGAAACATGGGAAGCAAACGGATAACATTAACTTTTGTTCCTAATCCTGAGGTAACTTTCAGGGTAAGTAATCATCGTCAGCAGCTGATTGTGTGAACATGAGCTGCTCTGGAGTCAGTTTTCCTCAGAGGTTTTCAACAGGTCTGACAGATTCACACATTATTATAATAGCTCATTTTGGAATTTTAAAGCACTGTTATAACATGAAGCAATGTTCATTATAAAACAGAGAGTTCCGGTGCTTGATTCTGATTGGCTGAGCCGCGTTCGAAGCTGTTGTAAATTACTCTACAAAGTAACATACACCTTTGTTTACGTTTTTGTGCTGCTCGGCAACCACTTTGTTGCAACCACAACTGTTTCTGAGGAACTACATTGTTTGGTGGAAGAATACTGTTAAATACTAATAAACAGTTAATGTGCTAGTGATATGCATGCTAATAAGCGACTAGTTAATTGTGAGAATTGGTCCCTAAAATAAAGTGATACCATTCATTTTTTTATCCGATATGAAGACGTGTGCATAATCCACAGTGGAAACACATTTACCGAATAAATTCCTAACGCTTTTGGTGTACTGTTTTTCCGATACTATATAGTAGGGAAGCATGCGATTTCAGATGCGTTGAATGTCTCCTGAGATGTCTCCTTCATCTGATTGCTGCCTTTGATATCCCACAATCCTGTGCGTTCCATTCCATGACAACGAAACAATAAAATGAAATGGCGTCTGGAAGTTGCAGCTGGTGGTCAGCTTGTGTGTAAATGTATGTTTTGACCAAACTTTTTCACTTTTAATGTCATTACTAGTGAGAAATTAGTATTGTAGTAATTCAATGTTTGTTTAGTTATCACCAAAGTGCTCTCTATTTTGCTGTACATCATTAGATCATTATTCTGTGTCAGAAATCTGTCTGAAATGAGTTTTGTGAGGAACCTCAGTGCTCAAATGCTGTCACTTAGCAACACCTAACAACCACACAAAAGAACATGGAAGCCACTTAGCAACACCCTAGCAACTACCAAAAGAATGTGGTAGCCAATTAGCAACACCCTAACAACCACCAAAAGAATGTGGTAGCGAATTAGCAACACCCTAACAACCACCAAAAGAATGTGGTAGCGAATTAGCAACACCCTAGCAACGACCAAAAGAACATGGTAGCCAATTAGCAACACCCACACCCTAGCAACAGCCCAGAACTCCTTAGCAACAACCTAGAACTCCCTAGCAACACCCGAAGAACAACCCAGAAGCCACTTAGCAGCACCCTAACAACCACCCAAAAGAACTTGGTAGCCACTTAGCAGCACCCTAACAACCACCCAAAAGAACTTGGTAGCCACTTAGCAACACCTTAGCAACCACTCAAACAGCACACAGTAAACCTCAGCGAACCCAGTCACCCGCTATTGTGAGTTCTGCACAAGGAAACAAGTTTTTCTTCAGGAAATGTGTAGCTGGCGTTCACAGAGTCTGACTTTAGCACAGCATGCGTTACCTCAGGCTGCGGCGGCGCTGGATCCGCGGCTCCTCTGCACGCCAGCGGAGGCTCCTGAGACGCGGGTGGAGCCGGACTGAGCTCAACCACAGAGAGAAGCAGCCAAACTGAGCAGAAGGTCTTCATGATCGGCTCCGGAGAAGATCTCAGTCCTGTGCTGCTGTTTATACTGCGGAGCGCTGTTGCGTAACACGCGCGTGAGCTGACGCTTTCCAGATGAGCGTCAAGATCTGCCCGAGCGACCAGTACAGACTGCTGGATCACGACAGAACAAGCTGAACCGAGTCCCCAGCTCACACACTTCGGCTTTATGTAGATACTATGTGCTGTTGTATGCGGACCGTCCGCGCGGTCTCAAAAAATTACCTGCACACGGATGGGGTGCCCGGCTGTCCGCGAGCCCTCCTGATGACGAAAATGACGTAATGTGGACGCGGACGGCTGAAGTCAGTCCTGTGCTGCTGTTTATACTGCGGAGCGCTGTTGCGTAACACGCGCGTGAGCTGACGCTTTCCAGATGAGCGTCAAGATCTGCCCGAGCGACCAGTACAGACTGCTGGATCACGACAGAACAAGCTGAACCGAGTCCCCAGCTCACACACTTCGGCTTTATGTAGATAAATCCGCGGATAACATGACATCTGTGCTGCTGTTTTCCCTCCGTGATTATGTCATTAAGGATCTGGCTTTTGTTAGTAAGAATGTATTGTATCGAGTTTATAAAAACCCCAAAGAAAAGTTGATTTTGAGGGAATACTACTACAACAATTCATCATCTATACATCTGCAGCATCAGTCTCCTGCTTATTTTATTGTATAATTTGGGTGGCACATAAAGCCAGTGTGCAGGCAGCAAACATTTCTTGCGATTTCTGTTAATTGTGTAAACGAATAATTCTGTTTTGAGTTGAATTTTAATATTAGTTTGAATTCAAATTAAAGGGTGGATTTCAGGAACAAAAATGTAATAAAACTTTAAAACTGGTCCAAAAAATACAACATTTGTAACGTAATATATCCCCAAACAGCTGTCAATATCAAACAAAAATATCATATTTAATTTAAGTTTTGTTTTTAAATCACTGATTGTAAACTACATTGGCACTAACTGTGGTAGCCACTTAGCAACACCCTAGCAACCACCAAAAGAACGTGGTAGCCACTTAGCAGCACCCTAACAACCACCCAAAAGAACTTGGTAGCCACTTAGCAGCACCCTAACAACCACCCAAAAGAACTTGGTAGCCACTTAGCAGCACCCTAACAACCACCCAAAAGAACTTGGTAGCCACTTAGCAGCACCCTAACAACCACCCAAAAGAACTTGGTAGCCACTTAGCAACACCTTAGCAACCACTCAAACAGCACACAGTAAACCTCAGCGAACCCAGTCACCCGCTATTGTGAGTTCTGCACAAGGAAACAAGTTTTTCTTCAGGAAATGTGTAGCTGGCGTTCACAGAGTCTGACTTTAGCACAGCATGCGTTACCTCAGGCTGCGGCGGCGCTGGATCCGCGGCTCCTCTGCACGCCAGCGGAGGCTCCTGAGACGCGGGTGGAGCCGGACTGAGCTCAACCACAGAGAGAAGCAGCCAAACTGAGCAGAAGGTCTTCATGATCGGCTCCGGAGAAGATCTCAGTCCTGTGCTGCTGTTTATACTGCGGAGCGCTGTTGCGTAACACGCGCGTGAGCTGACGCTTTCCAGATGAGCGTCAAGATCTGCCCGAGCGACCAGTACAGACTGCTGGATCACGACAGAACAAGCTGAACCGAGTCCCCAGCTCACACACTTCGGCTTTATGTAGATAAATCCGCGGATAACATGACATCTGTGCTGCTGTTTTCCCTCCGTGATTATGTCATTAAGGATCTGGCTTTTGTTAGTAAGAATGTATTGTATCGAGTTTATAAAAACCCCAAAGAAAAGTTGATTTTGAGGGAATACTACTACAACAATTCATCATCTATACATCTGCAGCATCAGTCTCCTGCTTATTTTATTGTATAATTTGGGTGGCACATAAAGCCAGTGTGCAGGCAGCAAACATTTCTTGCGATTTCTGTTAATTGTGTAAACGAATAATTCTGTTTTGAGTTGAATTTTAATATTAGTTTGAATTCAAATTAAAGGGTGGATTTCAGGAACAAAAATGTAATAAAACTTTAAAACTGGTCCAAAAAATACAACATTTGTAACGTAATATATCCCCAAACAGCTGTCAATATCAAACAAAAATATCATATTTAATTTAAGTTTTGTTTTTAAATCACTGATTGTAAACTACATTGGCACAATCATCAGAGATGGACCCGTCAGAAGTAGTTATTTGTGTAAATGCAATGCAAAACATTGTTTTTGTTTTTTTGTCCATCACCATGACCTTTTTTTTCTTTTTTTGTGGACACGCCCCTGACTTCAATAGTAATATTGTTTTTATTAAAAAAGAATCTCCAGTCATTTTACATTTTTTTCTAGGTTATTTCTACTTTTTTAGCACAATTTAAAGTCGTACTTCTTTACTTTCAGTCAAGTACTGTAATGTTTTTGACCAGATACTTGTACTTTTTACTCGGTATCTGAATTTTCACTAAAGCATTGCTGCATGAAATGAAATGCAGTGCTTGTTGCTGAGTAACGTTGGGCCTCTGGTTCCAGAAGCGTCTGTTTTGCTCGAGGCCTCACACTTTCTCACTAAACATGATGCATTCTGCAGCCCTTCTGCTTTCCACGACCATTAGTAAAGCCGGGAAGTCTTGTATTATTCCTTAATCAGCAGAAAACCCCACAAACACATGATTCCTGCCTTCATCGGAGCCAGATTACGACTATTTGATCAATTCTTGACATACATGACATTCCTGATTTGAAAGTTATGGCCAGTGATCCAGATGCTTTCTGTGACATCGGTGGGTGTTTTACTGCATCCAAACAGCCTTTGCACGTTGTAAACGTTATGCATTTTGAATACTTAAGTCTTCTTTGAAACTTTGGACATTTGGCTGCTTTGGTTATTTCGATGAGTGATACACACTGATACTGATACTAGGTTTTTCAGCGCAACAGTCGCTGTTTTTAAAGCAGCACTTTGTAACTTTTGGCGCTCTAGCGGTTAATAAACAGAGCTGCACACATCCCGCGGAAGAACATTCCAACCGGATCTACTTCTCTAAGTTTATGTCTCTGGCGATTCACGCAGGTATGTGTTACTCCGCAGCGGTGACCAGGCTACAATAGTCCAAATATAAGTACTTATTATAAGTGTACCGTAGTGATTCGGAATAAGACAAAAACGCGGTTTGGAAGATGAATTCATGATGTACTTGTTCATTATATACAATTTGCAAATTGTAAACACAGAAAAAGTTACATAGTGCTGCTTAAATGTATCTCTCATTCGTATTACCTTACAGCAGAGCCAGTGTAGCGAATCAAACACACAGTCGGCTCTCTCTCGTACAGCGCTGATAAATCCTATATTCAACCGGTTCGTCTTAAAAAGTCCTCTTTCTCCCACAATTAGCTTGGAAAGTTTCGATTCATTCCAGCGAATCGGTTCGTCCTAAACGACTCGCTCACATTTAGCTTTAGAAAGATTCATTCTAGCGAATCGGTTTTCTGATTCATTCTAGTGAATCACTTTGTTGTAAATGAACCGATTACAAACAGATGCACTGATTCGAGTCAGCTCTTCAGTGTGTTTAATTTGAACAATCTAAGCAGTGTTCTAGTTTTTAAGTTGTTTATGTAAATGTATCTGTTCGGTTTTGATGTTGCCACCCTAAATAGGATGTTCACCCCCCCCACCCCCCTCTGGATCAGGTGACTGTCACATGACTGTGCGCTGTGAGCATGGCAGAGCGAGAGGAGTATGAGGGTCTGCTGGATGAAGAGGATGAGGATGATGAAGGTGTGTCTCGGCACCTGAGCCCGCTGTGTGACCCGACTCACCTGCTGCACCGGATCCTGGTTCTGCTCTTCATGTGCTTCCTGGGCTTCGGTGAGAGTCACGAGACCAGCAGGATCACTGCACTCACAGCATCTCACTGATTCATAGCCATATAACACTCTGTTCACATCACAGAGCAAATCAAAAAGCTGTTACCATGTTTTTGTCAGTTTAGGCTCAGTGGTGTCAGATTGCATGTGAAAGTGAAACTCACCGTGTTAACTTACCATTCTGCTCTTTTTTTATTTGACTTTATTTTCATTTTTTTCAGGCAGTTACTTCTGTTATGACAACCCCGCCGCTCTTCAGACTCAAGTCATACAGGTGTGTGTGCATGCAGGTGCAGTCTGCTCAAGCCTGTCCTTACATTAGTTTACTGCAGAACATATGCTCTGTGACCATGAATCATGTTTTGTTCTTGATGGTGATTGTCACAAATGAACACAACTTTTATGAACTGTACACAGGGGCGGACTGTGATTTGGGGGCCCTAAGCAAATGTCAGGTTTAACTATGCGCTCTTTTTTTGCTCGCGCTCTCTCTCATAGTTTATACTTTATTTACATCTCCACAACTATTAAGTAAACAACTAGTCAACCTGATGCTGTTCTAAAGCCATATTAGGCTTATTTTTATTTATTTTTTTCGGATCACAAAAGAAGAAATGCTTGCACTTGTCCATTTAATGAACTGTAACCTTCTTCAATCTTTTTACAAAAAGGATTCAAATGTCGTAAAAGTATCCCATGCAACTCGTTCCATATTCCAAGTGTCCTTAAGGCATATTTTAGGCCGGGTTTGCCAAGACACAAACTGAAAATGATATATATTATTAAGCAAAAATCTCCAGTCATCGCATTCGTGCATGTATTACGAGAGCGCTGCAGTTCACGCATTGGAAAAGCACACAAGCGAGTCATTTTGAAACATCAAGACAAATAAAATCTTGACATGAAACTCGATGCATTCTTCTCTGAGGTTCTGAGACGGTGTGGTTTGATTGGCTCACTCCGTGTGTCTCCGTGTGTCTCTGTGTGTCTCAGGACATGAGTCTGAACACGGCCTCGTTCATGCAGCTGTACGCCTGGTACTCATGGCCTAATGTTGTGCTGTGCTTCCTCGGAGGCTTTCTGTTGGACCGGGTCTTTGGCATCAGGTGGGTCCAGATCAGCTGCACTGCTGTGGGATGTGTGTTCACGTCGCTGGGCTGACCGTATAATGCGCTTACACTGTCTGGAATCTTGTACAGCACATGCTTGCTTTAGTAAAGAGTAACACGTTCTTTCCTTCTTTCTAGGCTGGGGACGATCATCTTTGCATTGTTTGTGGTAATCGGGCAGGTGGGTTATCACACGCATGCATTATGTCTGCTAGCAGTGTCATAATCAGTGCTATGGAAGCTTGGAAGGATTCCTGACTTTTTTCTCAACCTTTTTTATTTTATAAATGAGATTTATAAAATACACACACAGTCACACACACAGTCACACACACACACACACTCTCTTTCTCTTTATCTCTCACACACACACACACAGTCACACACACAGTCACACACACAGACACACACACAGTCACACACACACACAGTCACACACACACTCACACAGTCACTCACACAGTCACACACAAACACACACACACTCACACACTGTGTGTCTGTCAATCACACAGTCACACACACACAAACACACACTCACACACAGTCAAACTAGCAATTGATAGTTTTTTTCAGTCACGTGACCGGCTCGAAGACCTGGCGGGCAAAACATCCACAGAACTGCAGCACAAGCCTGTGACCTTTCCATCTGTTCCAGTACACAAATATTTAGATAAGCTCTCAAAAGAATAAAACAAAGATATGTGAGCAGAATGCAAGCTTTGGCCATTTGCAATACATATAAAGCACTATTCAATCACTCAAAACAGCGTGACATTCTAAAACGTTTACTGTGAAAACACTTAAAGTGCCTTTAAAACAGTGATATTACAAGATCAAATTTAGTACACACTTTATTGATGATGCATGCTTTATACAATTAAGCAAATGAGCTCGGAGAATGGTTTAGTGTTATGGGAAAATATTTAATGTTAAAGGGTTAGTTCACCCAAAAATGAAAATTAGGCTGTGTTTTACTCACCCCCAAGTCATCCTAGGTGTATATGACTTTCTTCTTTCAGACGAATCCAGTCGGAGTTATATTAAAAATAGTCTTTGATCTTTCAAGCTGTTTAATGCCACTCAGCGGGTGTTGCATTGCTTCAGTCCAAAAGCAGTTAAATAAAAAGCACCCATCCATAAAAAAAGTTCCTCACACGGCTCCGGGGGGTGAACAAGGGCCTTCTGTAGCGAATCCATGCGTTTTTGTAAGAAAAATCCATATTCAAAATGTAATAATCACTTTAATCTCGCTTGCTCCAGCAGGTGTACACTGAAGCAGCTCCGGGCGGATGACGTATGAGGTCAGTGCTGCGCATGCGCCGCTCAGAAGTGACGCACGCGGAAGCGCAGCGGAGAGATCAAAACAAAACAACGGTCACTAATTAGAAGTACAAAACGAGGATTTGTAAAGAAGAATGTCGGAGGATTTCGATATAAGCCAAGAGGAGACTGGTTTTCCTTTGCTAAAGTAAGGAAACTTTGCTTCCTTTGCTCCTGTAAACAAACGTTGGTTTTCACGAGACTCACCGGCGCATGTGCAGCACTGAACTCATACCTCATCAGCCTGGAGCTGCTTCAGTGTACAACTGCTGGAGCAAGCTAGATTAAAGTGATTATTACATTTTGAATATGGATTTTTCTTACAAAAACGCATCGATTCGCTACAGAAGGCCTTTGTTCACCCCCCGGAGCTGTGTGAGACACTTTTTTTAATGGATGGGCGTTTTTTATTTAACTTGTTTTGGACTGAAGCATGCAACACCCGCTGAGTGCAACGATAGAGCTCGAAAGATCAAAGACTATTTTTAATATAACTCCGACTGGATTCGTCTGAAAGAAGAAAGTCATATACACCTAGAATGACTTGAGGGTGAGTAATTTATGGACTAATTTTCATTTTTGGGTGAACTAACCCTTTAAACTGCCAAAAAGAGCTAATAAAAAATAGTTCCTCAGAAGATCATGGAAATAGGACAAAAGATGGTTTACCTTCTTTCCATTCTTGTAGAAATGGAATGTTGGCATACATTTGATTTCACAGAAAGTGGCCACATCCTAGACAAGAGAAAGAGGGAGTGGAGATCAGGTCTGATTAGGTTTAGTCTGCGGTGGGATGATAAACATATTTAATAGTGTCTTTTCATTTTGCTTAGCCAGTCTGAGCACTTTTGTAAAAGAGGGATGAAATTATGTCCACAGCAGGACTCGAAGGCTGTCGAAATAAAAAAAAAAACATGATATGTTTAGAAAAAAATAATGTGTTTCATATTAATTTCATCTTAAACAATTTTTAATATAACTCTGACTGGATTCGTCTGAAAGAAGACATTTTTGGGTGAACTAACCTTTTAAACTTTGCGCATCGCATTTATATTCTGGGTTCATCTGCTCGCCTGTATAAAGCATGCATCATCAATAATGCGTGCTCTGAATTTGGCCTTTAAATATCACTGTCTTACTACATTACTATTATTGCAAACCTCGTAAAAATAACTGGCGGTTAGTGGAGGAAAGCCTAGTTTTGGCCTCCATGTGAACGTTCCTGTAAGAGCGAAGAACGATGGATTACAAGGAAAAAAGTCAGAATTGCAAGACATAAACTCGCAATTCTAAGAAAATGTCAGAATTGAGATATATACTCAAAATTCTGTGGAAAAAGTCAGAATTGTAACTAATTCTAAGAAACAAAGTCAGAATTACTGCGGCTTACATTAGTAAGCTTCCCATCAACCGAACACGACGCTCCTCGTAACACCTGAAGGCTGTGTTGGAGTGTGTGTGACTGATGTGTAATGGAAGTGTGTTTTCAGTGGTGTGTGTGTGTGATCATCGGTTCTGTTTCGCAGATCATATTTGCTGCTGGAGCTCTGGCCAATCACTTCTGGCTGATGAATCTGGGCCGTTTTGTGTTTGGGTGAGCAGCGTCTGCTGATTAAAAAGCATCTGATGTTTCTCTGGCTGTGTGTGAACATGCGTGATCTGTTCAGTATCGGCGGAGAGTCGCTGGCTGTGGCTCAGAACACGTATGCGGTGAACTGGTTCAAAGGAAAGGAGCTCAATCTGGTGTTCGGCCTGCAGCTCAGCATGGCCAGAGTGGTAAGAGATGTGCATTTGTGATGCGAATGCAGTCAGATTCACTGTAGAATCACTGCGACCCAGATGAGTCCAAGTGGAGAGTCATTCTTGAGTCCAAAAATGACCATTGATGCACAATGCTGGGAGAAAAGAGAATATTTCTTACTGGCCATAAAACTGCATTTTATTTTCAGAAAATATAGTACAGTTCAAAAGTTGGGGGTTATTGAGATGTTTTAAATTAACTTTATTTGATCAAAAATACAGTAATTTTTTTTTTTTATTATTAGAATCTATAATATGTTTTCTATGTGAATATCTGTTAAACTGTAATTTATTTCTGTGATCAAAGCTGTATTTTCAGCATCATTACTCCAGTCTTCAGTGTCACATGATCTTCAGAAATCATTCTAATATGATGCTCAAGAAACATTTCTGATTATTATCAATGTTGAAAACAGTTGTGCTGCACAATATTTTTGTGGAAACTGATGCATTTTATTTTTCAGGATTCACAGATGAATAGAAAGTTCAAAAGAGCAGCATTTATTTGAAATCGAAATCTACTGTAACATTATAAATGTCTTTACTGGCACTTTTGATCAATTTAATGCGGCCTTTATGAATAAAAGTAAAAGTAAAAAAAAAAAAACTGACTTCAAACTTTTGAGCAGTAGTATAAAAAATCTACACTTCATTTGGTGGAATAAATATGCAACTTTAGGCATTCTTGATTACCTTTTGGTGTTTAATTTTCCGTTGAGATGAAAGTTGTGTAATTCATCACGAGTAATAAGCAAAGCTCTGTGTGTAGAGATGATCATCTTCAGTAATACGTTTGCTGTGAGCTCTCTGAACGTGACTCTATGAGCTGAATGTGAGGCTCTCTCTGTGTTCAGGGCAGCACGGTCAACATGAATGTCATCGGTTGGGTTTACAGCCGCATTCAGGCTGTGATGGGCTCGGCGGGACACACCACACTCGGGATAACACTCATGATCGGTGAGAGCCCTTACGAACCCTCGCAAATATCAGAGGATTCTCAAATTACTCCAACAACTAGAAATATCATGAACACCTGATGCATTAAGCATGCATTTCTCTAGTTACGTGCGAGCTAGAAAGTGCTGTGAGTCTGTAAATTGATGGGTTATCTTTATGCGGTGGAGAAACGCTTAGTCTCTAGTACTGTGGAATGAGATATTATCCTGCTCTCGGATGATGTTTACGATGAGCTGCTCGACTTCTCGTGCTTCACTTCTCCTTTCGTTTGCCTTGTTCTGTCTTTCCCAGCCTTTCGTGAACTAAATCACTGAATGTTTCTTTTCCTCTCTGGTGCAGTGGCTCATATTTCAGGTTTAATGTCTGAGAAGCGTGTTTTTGACTCTGATGAAGGTCTGCGTGTTGAAACACATTACCGTATCTTCCTGAATATAAGTTGCAGGGTTTTTAATCATCTGAAACCCAGAGCTGCTTCTGTTGCGATTCATGTCAAGCGTGCATTTATTTGTATAGTGCCTTTCACACATGCTGCTAGTCTCAGTTTCGCTTTAAATTAATTTGCTTAGGCTTGGCGTTTATAATAAACACTGTAATTATACTTCATTCCTGTTCTGAATACTGTTAAAAGGAATTGTTGTGGTGTGAGGGAACTCTGTTTACAGACATTATAAACGCAGTATTTGACATTATTTCTAATGCAGTAATAAAATGTGACTTATACACTGATGCAAGTTTCTGTCAACAATGCATTTTTGACCCGGTGCAATTTATAGATTTATTTTCAGGATAATACGGTCGTTTATAATAAAGGTTAAAGGGATAGTTCAGCCAAAAATGAACATGCTGTCATCGTTTAATCAGCTTTATTCAAACCCATTAGACTTTGGTTCATCTCTGAAACACAAATGATGATATTTAATGTTTTGATGAAAGTAGAGAGATTTCTGTCCTTCCATTGAAAAACCATAAAGCTCATCAAATATGGTAAACTGAAGCTCAAATATGTTTGGATTAAACCACTCGATTCATGTGGATCACTTTTAGAATATGAACTTTTTGACGTGTCACAGTTTTGGTTAGCTGGATTTTGAGTGAGAAACAGAAATATCTCCGGTTTCATTATTATAAAGATCTCCGTTTGTGTTTTAAAGAATAGCCAGAGTCGAATGGGTTTGGGAGTGAGGGTGATTTTGGGGTCTGTAGTTGTATGTCTTGTGTTAGCTGTCAGTAATGCTGTGTGTGAATGAACGCTGTGTGGTGTTTCTCAGCGGCCTCCACATGTCTGTTCTCCCTCACATGTGCTCTGATTCTGGGCTTCCTGGACAGAAGAGCAGAGAAGATCCTCCACAAGGAGCAAAGCAAAACCGGTGAGATGATCCAGAGCAGACGCTCGTGACGGTCTGGCTGCCATCTGTCCTGTCAAACACTGATTTAGAGAAGTGTGTGTGTGTGTGTGTGTGTGTGTGTCATGTAGGGGAAGTCATCAAGCTGACAGACGTCAAGGACTTTCCCTTCTCTCTCTGGCTCATCTTCATCATCTGTGTGGCGTATTACGTGGCCATCTTCCCATTCATTGGACTGGGCCAGTGAGTTTCTGTCCTGTTCATATCGAAAATCAAGTGTACAGAATTAAAAATAACAGAAGAGAGGATCATCTGAACATTCACATAATGGAGAGTGAATATGAAGGAGTGAGAGTGTGAGATGATGATGGATCATTTCTCCACACAGAGTTTTCTTCATCGAGAAGTTCGCCTTCACTACTGTCCAGGCCAGAGCCATCAACAGGTACTCACACACAGACACACACACACAGTCACACACAGACACTCACACACACACACACACTCACACTCACACACACAGTCACACACTCACACACACAGTCACACACTCACACACACAGTCACACACTCACACACACAGTCACACACTCACACACACACACACACAGTCACACACACGGACACTCACAGTCACACACAGACACTCACACACACACACACACACGGACACTCAGTCACACACACACACGGACACACACGCACACTCACGCACAGTCACACACACACACTCACAGACACACAATCACACAGTCACACACTCACACACACACAGTCACACACTCACACA